GCGGGCGGGGGCCCGGGACCGGGCCAGGCAGGGTGGCTGGAAGGGGGTCGGGCCGGGGGCGCTGGGGGTCGTGGAGGCGAGGGCCCCGGGGGCAGCACGGCCTACGTAGTGTGCGGAGTCATCAGCTTCGCCCTGGCGGTGGGCGTCGGTGCCAAAGTGGCCTTCAGCAAGGCGTCGCGTGCGCCCAGAGCGCACCGGGAGATCAACGTGCCCAGGTAGGTGTGCGGAGGGGCTGGAGGGATAGGAGGGAGCACGCAGCCGGGGCACTGGGAGGCCAAGCAGTCTGATGGAGGCGGTGCCTTAATGCTGGGAGGTGAAACTGGGCAGTGAGAGGCCCAGCAACCTGTCTGAGGGTGTGGCCTGGGCGAAAGGGGTGGCTGCTGGGGGCGGGGCCTGTGCTGTGGGAGGTGGAAGCTTTGAGGTGTGGCTACACGAATGGGTAGGATCCAAGTTAGTGGTGGGAAATAACTGGGGCCTGAGAACAGTTGCAAGGGTCTGGTTATAGAGAAGAACTGGGATAGGAGAGTTCATTCATTCAGCCAATATTTCTTAAAAAAAAAAAAAAAGCTTTCTGTGGAGCAGGAGCTGGGGATACAGAATGGGAAAAAAGCCCTGCCCTTCTGAATAAACCTATGTCCCAAACTCAAGTATTCTGCTTGTGAACTATGAGATGTGGGGTCTCTGTGCCTAGGGGTCCTCGCACAGATAGTAGGGCTAAGAACAGACCTCCGTTTATTCAGATTCTAAAGAATAGCTGAGCTGATTCATGTAGAGTCCTAGCTAAGTGTTCATTAAATATTTGTGGTAGACCCAGAAAGCCTGTATGCCACGTAACTCTAGACGTTGACAACCGCTATGGGGTGGGGGGTAACAATGTACAATGTAAAGAGTTAAGAGAAGGAGTGTTGGTTTCGGGGAGAGGTTTGTTTTGTTGAAGATCGGAAAGAGTCTGAGCAGGATCCTGAAGAAATTAGAGATAGAGTCAAGCAGCTACTGTGTGAGGCTGTTCCAGGCAGCGGGCACAGACACATTCCAGAGGTGTCCTGTGTATACGTGGTGTCTGAGATGAGGCAGGAAGGGGCTGCGTTTCTTCTGTGTGCTATGAGTAGCCACTAGAGGTGGACAGAGACCATTGCAATACGTAGACATCCTGTGTGAGGGCCGACCAGGGACAAGGACCGTGATTTCTGGGTGGGAGAGGCGCTGAGCAGTGAACTGATGGCAATGTATTGTGGAGGTCTACTTTGGAGGACTGGAAAGAGGAAAAGTTCCAAAAGGTTTGAGGTCTGCCTAAGTGAACCAGGAAGGCCGCCCAAGAAACAGTAATAAAGTTCATGGTGGGGCAAGACAACACAGGAACATGAACGTGGATGGACCACAGAAAGAGTTCTTGGAGGAATATGTCAGTCAGGAAGTGTGGCTGAGAAAGGCTGACCTTAGAAGCCCTAGTCAGATGGTGGTGGTACACGCCTTTAATCCCAGCACTCAGGAGGCAGAGGCAGGCAGGTCTCTGTGAGTTCAAGGCCAGCCTGGTCTACAAGAGCTAGATCCAGGACAGGTTCCAGAGAAACCTTGTCTTGAAAAAACAAAAAAACAAAAAACAAAAAAAAAAAGTGCCTAGTCAAAGATGGACCACATCTCTGCCCTACAGACTCCCTACAAAAGAGAATGGGGGGGGGAAGAAGCCTGGGCCCCTCCATCCCCTCTCATCCCAGTCCCTGACTACCCATCCATCCACCATTTTCAGAGCTCTGGTGGACATTCTAAGGCATCAAGCAGGACCAGCAACCCGCCCGGACCGGGCCCGAAGCAGCTCTCTGACCCCAGGGCTAGGAGGCCCAGAAAGCATGCCTCCCAGGACACCCAAGAACCTTTACAACACCATGAAGCCCTCCAACCTCGGTGAGTGCAAGTGACAGATGCAATCTCATCTCTGGTCACGCCCTCAACCCTATGGTTCTGCCCTTCTTCCCCGTGTGACATCCCCCCTCCCGCTTGATTCCTTGGCCCCACTCTGGTCTCCATCCATCAGCCTTGACCACCTCATTTCTCCCTTCACCGCCCATTCTACTCATCCTGAGAGAAATCCCAGAGGCCATAGTGGACAAGAAAAATTCTGGTCTTGTTTGAGGCAGGAAATGGGGGAGGGTGGTGGGGCGGGCTTTTCCCAGAGAGAAGAATAACTTTAGCTGCAGGAGCTCTGGGTCGCTGGAGCAGAACTTATGAGGCTCTCAGGCCTGAGACCGCACACATCATGGAGTTCTAGGCTTCTTCGGTGCCAGGCTGAGCTCAGGTACCCTGCTCTGAAATCAGTGGGGAGCCACTGAGGTATTTCAAGCAGGAAGCAACACAGTTAGATGTTGAAGCACTCAGCTGTAATCTCAGAACTCTCAGTGAGGCCGGAGACAGGAGGATCAAGAGGTGGAGAGCAGCCTGGGTTAAATAGCAGGAACCTATCCCAGAAAACCAAGGGGTAGGAATGCAGCTCAGGGGTGGAACAGACTTGTGAGGAGCTGGAAGTGGGACCCATGAGTAGACCACTTGCCTAGCACCCAACAGGAAGGGATTCGGGGATGTAGTTCAGTGACAGGGTGTTTACTTAGCACGCATAGAGCTCTGGCTCCCATCTCCAGCCTGGAAAAACATAAAATGGAAGTCGGGTGTGGTGGCTCATGTTTTTGATCTCAGCACTCAGGTGTCAGAAGAAGGTGAATCTCTGTGAGTTCAAGACCAGTCAGGGTTACACAGTGAGACCTTAAAAAAAATGTTGACGCCAGTATGGTGGCACACACCTTTAACCCAGTGCTTTTGAGGCAGAGGCAGGCAGAGCTCTGTGAGGTTGAGGCCAGCCTGGTCTACAGAGTGAGTGCCAGGACAGACTCTGAAATTGCAGAGAAACCCTGTCTTGAAAAGAGGAAAAGAAAGGAAGGAAGGAAGGAAGGAAGGAAGGAAGGAAGGAAGGAAGGAAGGAAGAAAGGAAGGAAGGAAAAAAAAGATGAGGTAAAAGAACTATGTTCTGGAATCTGCAACCTATGTTAAGGGAAGAGATGAGATGAACCAGGCTCTGGAGGCTGGGATTACAGCCCACGCAGTGATAGAAGAGGGTCTGGGCCAGGTCAGGGGTGCAAGGAGGAGATAGGATTTTTTCGAGACAGGGTTTCTCTGTGTAGCCTCGGCTGTCCTGGAACTCACTCTGTAGACCAGGCTGGCCTCGAACTCACAGAGATTCGCCTGCCTCTGGAGTGCTGGAATTAAAAGGGATTAAAGGGACCACCCTGCTGAACTTGAACTTCTGATTCTCCTTCCTACATCTTTTAAATGCTAGGATTACAGGATTACAGCATCAAGTTTAACTTTTCCCTCCTAACACAAGATATCACACTGCACCGCAGGCTGCCTGGAGCTCCTGTAGCCTGGGCCGACCCCGAATTCATGGCAGTTCTTCCGTCTCAGCATCCTGTATGCTGGGGCTGCAATCATGAGCCGCTTTGTGAAGGCTCGAGGTAGATTTTGAGGGAGCTTTCATTCTTCAGGCAAAAAGGGGAAGGAAGAGATTCAAGGCATTGAGACCAGTATTACAGAATGTGCAACAGCCCTGTGACAAGCCTCGGGCACCACCCCCACGGTCCACTTTTCCTGTTGGGGATGGTGAACCACAGAAGGCATCTGAGTGTCCGAGGGACAGCCGCTACGGGGCTTCCCACCTCAAACTGGCACATTTGATGATTCAAAGAGAGGGTGCCTGTCAAGGCACAGATGTGGAGTCAGGAGCAGCCACCAGGCATGAGTGGTGAAGACCAAGAGGTGGTACGGAGACCATCAGAGTTCTGGCCTGGGTATTGGGGTGAATAAGAGGGACATCTCATCCTCAGCCATGATCCTGAGTTCCCATCCTCTGTTTCCTCGATGGGACCGATAGAATAAGTCAACCTGTGGGGCTCTAATGAGGGGGTGGGAGCGGCACGGAACTGGGAGCCAGAAGTGACACACTTCCGGGCAAGTGTCAATTGGGATGGCGATGACAGTGACGTCACCTCCCTTCTCGGTCCCTCAGATAACCTGCACTACAACGTCAACAGCCCCAAGCACCGCGCTGCCACACTGGGTACGCAGAGGGCCGAAGCGCCCTGGGAGTCGGGGTCCTTCAGGCCCTCACTGTGGGCAGCCCCAGCCTGGTGCTGGGTGGAGCCCCAGTAAGACCCCTGTGAGCCGATGCTCACGTGGGGCTGGCCATCAAGGCAGCTGCAGTGTCCTCGAGAGGACACCGGAAGTGGTGATCTCCTTCCCGTCAAGTTTTGGGAAGATGCGTGGAATGCATTCCCAGCTGGGGCCAGGATTCAGTGGGTGCTGACAAATGCCAGCGGTCCCCAACCTGGAATGTGATTTCATCCTCAACCACAACCCTGTCTGTCCACTGTGGTGGGAAACGAGGGGCTCCTAAAGGTTGGAGCTCTCGAAAACTAGAACCCCAGGTCTCTCACCTCCCAAGCCCCCAGACCTCTGAAGGAGGAAGGCTGGAGCCTGAAATCTCGGGTCCGAGGGAGAATGGTTAGAGCATGGACCCCAGGTCTGAAAAAGGAGGGCTGGGATTTGAAATCCTAGGTCTAAAGGAGGAGGGTTGGACTCTTCCCTCAGACTCTTGAGTCTGCGCGGGGCGGGGGTGGGGGGATCTCCTGGGTCTAAAGGAGGAGGGCAAAGATCTACTGGACCCTGGGTCTCAGGGAGGAGGGGTAAGACCTGGATTCCTGTATCAGAGGGAGGGATGGAATCTGGCCTTTGGCCTTGAGGGAGGAGGGCTGGGGTCTGGACTCCCGGGCCTGGGAAAGGAGGGTTGGTCTCTGGACTCTTGGGACTGGGGGAAGAGGGCTGGGCTCTGGACTCTTGGGTCTGGGGGAAGAGGGCTGGGCTCTGGACTCTTGGGTCTGAGGGAGGGATTGGCTTTGGGAACCTGGGTCTGAGGGAGGAGGGCTGGGCGCTGGGTCCCTGGGTCTGAGGGAAGGAGGGCGAGGCTCTGGAACCTGGCTCTGAGGAAGAATGGCTGCACTAATATGGTCTTCCCCCGCCACAGACTGGCGAGCCATGCCACCACCCAGCCCCTCCCTGCACTACTCCACGCTGTCCTGCTCTCGATCCTTCCACAACCTCTCGCATCTCCCTCCATCCTATGAGGCTGCTGTGAAATCAGAACTGAATCGCTACTCCTCTCTCAAGAGATTGGGTGAGCTTGGGGAAGGGGTACTCAGCCAATGGTAGGGGGTGGAGGGAGGGGGGTGCGTTGAGTTCCAAGGACAGCAGTGGGGTGGTGGGGAGCTCAAAAGGTTCCAATCTTTCTACCGACTTTTTTCCTAGTTTTACCTGAAATATTTTGGGTTGGATTTTTGTTTATTTGTATTTAATTTTATTGTTCTGAAACTGAGTCTTCGCCTTGTAACACACTTTGTCCTGGAACACACTGTGTAATACAGGCTGACCTCAAACCCAGCTTCCCTAGAGTTGGGATTGCAGGTGGGAACCATCATGCCCTGCTTAGCTTGCTGACTTTTGTTGCTGAAACATTAAGACCTCCTGGGTGCGGTGACTGGAGACATGGCTCAAAGGTTAAGAGCATTGGCTGCTCTTCCAGAGGTCCTGAGTTCAATTTCCAGCAACCATCACAGCCATCTCTAATGAGATCTGGTGCCCTCTTCTGGTCTGCAGGCATACATGCAGGCAGAACCTGTGTATGTAATAAATAAATAAATCTTTAAAGGAAAAAAAAAACCTCCTGGGTGGTGTGCGATGCAGATGAGGATGCTCTGGGTTGTCATGGGATCTGTCTTTTCTTCTCCTCCAGCTGAAAAAGATCTAGATGAAGCCTACCTGAAACGCAGACATCTAGAGATGCCCCGTGGGACACTGCCTTTGCATGCACTGCGGCGGCCTGGTACTGGAGGTGGCTACCGCATGGATGGCTGGGGTGGTCCCGAGGAGCTGGGCCTGGCACCGGCACCCAACCCCCGGCGGGTTATGTCCCAGGAGCACCTGCTGGGTGATGGCCGAGCTTCCCGCTATGAGTTCACATTGCCTCGAGCGCGGCTGGTGTCTCAGGAACACCTGCTGCTGTCCTCACCAGAGGCACTCCGCCAGAGTCGAGAGCACCTGCTGTCACCCCCACGAAGTCCTGCACTGCCCCCAGATCCCACCACCCGGGCCAGCCTGGCTGCCTCACACTCCAACCTGCTGCTGGGGCCTGGGGGCCCCCCCCACACCACTGCATGGGTTGCCTCCATCAGGCCTGCATGCCCACCATCACCACGCCCTTCACGGCTCTCCTCAACCAGCCTGGATGTCCGATGCAGGTGGGGGTGGGGGCACACTGGCCCGCCGGCCACCCTTCCAGCGCCAGGGAACCCTGGAGCAGCTTCAGTTCATTCCTGGGCACCACCTGCCACAGCACCTGCGCACTGCCAGCAAGAATGAAGTGACTGTCTGAGGCCAGGGTAGAGCGCTGGGGGCTGTGGCTTCTGAGGCCCCCTCCTCCCAGCCCAGATCTCCATCACAGGCTTATCATACACACCAAGGGTCTGAGACCAGATGAGCCCTTGGATCGGAGACCACGCCTCCTTTTGGGATGTCACAGTAGATGAGATCTCTCCTCCTACTTTGTCACTGTTTGAACCAAGGCCTCCTTCCCATGATGTCATCACAGAGGAAGAGGCCTGTACATGAGGTCATCGCTAGCAAATATGTCTGTGTTCTATGATGTCATTGCAGAAACTAAACCTCCTTCCTATGAGGTCACCACAGAGGAAGAGGCCTGCCCATGAGGTCATCACTAGAGGCTGTATCCATTTTGCATGACATCACCAGAGACTCCTTCCCTGTGATGTCACCACAGACAATGCCTTGTCCCATCCCATCATCCCTAGAAACAAAGATTTCCTCTGTGATGTCACTACAGAGACGAGTCTCCCACTTCTTGATATCGTCCTGAGCACCAAGGCCTCTTGAAACTGTCCAAATGTTTCTCTGCTATGGAGAAGATGCCTCCACCCCATGATGCCATGACTACAGACGAAGCCATTTTCCTGGGACACACTGCAGGGGACCGTGCCCTGCCCTTGTGTCCTCACTAAAGATGAGGCCTCCTCCCCACAGTGCTGTCACAGGATTTTGCCTCCCTCCTGTGATGCCATCACCAGAATAGGTGCCTTGCCCGATGGCACCATCACAGGGGCCGTGCCTCTTCGAGCGCAGTCATTACCAGTACTGACCACCTGTTCCAGGGACCTCTCCAGGAGGAGGCCCTGCTGTGGTGTGACCACTAGTGACCACCCGCTTGGAAATGACACCAGGGGACACCTCTATTGCTGTGCTGGGTTGTGAAAAAGTTGGGCGTGTCCAGCCGAAGACCATTTCGGGAAGATGCCAGAGAAAGCAGCTTTTCCTGAGATGTACTATGAGGGTGTCGGCACTGGGGATGCCAAGACAATGACCTGTCTGTAGGAGGCTGGCGATGATGCCCTCCATCGCCTGGACATCATCATAAAGGGTTTCCTTCTCAGAGGCGGTCCCCACTCTCGATGGCCACCAGTAGTGATTGTCATCAGAGTCCTTGTCTTGCTTCCCTATAACTTAGCTCCATGGCTTCTTCCCATGACCCCAGGGACATGGCCAACAGGATGTCTACCAGCGCCTCTAAAGGAAGGTTGGGCCTGTGCAGTGAGTCCTTGGGGATGGCACCCATGGATGAGCTTCAGCTCCAAGGAGGCCACTTTGATCCATGAGGCTTCTAAAATCCTGGGACTCATAGGTGGGCCAAAAGCTGGCATTACTTCTTTCTGCCATATCTAAAGACATCAGCTCTGTCAACAGAGCCCCCACCTCCTATTGGAGGGAGAGGGTTGGGGTGTATGTGCCGCTGACCTTGCCGATGACATCATCAATGCTACCCAGTGTACTCCTTTCATGATGGCATAGCAGTTGGGGTCCAGTGCTAATCATGTCATTTCCCAGGATTCCATAAGACTCACCTCAACTAGCACATCATCATCTACCAGGAATTGTCACCACTAATGATGTCAACATTGTCTCCCAATATTCCTCCCAACCGTAGTGTCACCATCTCCCAGGATCCTCAAAGCATGTCATCATCACCATCTCCTATGAGCCATCACAGCATGCTGTCATGGTGTGCCAGGATTCACCACAAATATGTTCTCATCACCTCCCAGCATTCACCACAGCCATAGGTCCCATCATCTCCCGGGACCCATCAGAACCATGCTGTCCTCATCTCTCAGGAGCCACTACAACCATGATGTTCTTGTCTCCCTAGTTGTGCCATGACCAGTGATGTCCGTCCTTACCTTCCAATCATTCCAAATCCATTATGCCTCATGGTGGCCCTCTCCAAGAGGCCTTGTTAGGACGGATAGTGCCGATGTTTTTCATTATCACAGTGTCGCCATCTCCCACGATCTACCTGCCCCACGTCTCATGTCTCGGCCACCAGAGCTATGATGTCACCACTTCATAAGATCCACCGCAGCTGCGGTGTCCTTGGATTCATGCAGCCCTGCATCGCCACATCCCGGATCCCTCTGAGTGTCACAGTCATAAGCCACAGGAGTCCATGAGAGTCATGGTGTCACCACCTCGGCCCCAATCGTGTCCTGTCATGATTCATCAGCAGTCACTGTACCCATGGTGCATCGCCTCCAGTCAGGCATACTAGCCAATGGTGTCTTCATCTCCCAGGACCCTCTCGAACCCCAGTGTCTCCGTGACCTAGGGTCCCTCTCCCATAACGATGATGTCATCACCTCCTGGATCCATGACAAACAATGCCATCATTTCCAGAGCTCACTGAAGTCCTGGTGTCACTGCCTCCCAGAATCCACGTTAAAACTGTGTCCTCATCTTCCAGGACCCATGGCACTTGTGTCCCATCTGCCAGGATCCACCATCTTAGACCGGCTATCTTTCCATTGTCCTCTGGGGTCTCATGGCATTTACAGTTCCTCCCTTCAGGGGAACCAGCACAACAGGCCATTTCCCATTCCCTCCGCAGGACTAGGGTGGAGCCAGCTGTCTCCCTCTGATAGTGCCCCCCTCCCCCACTCTGGCCCTTCTTGGTTAGTCACTGCCTCACTCCTGATCTGAATACATACCTGGGTCCAGACTTGGCCTTGGCTAGCCTCCTTCACCCACTGGTGAGTGCATCCAAACTCTTCCTGTGTCACCACCGTCCCTCACCCAGCCATTAGATCGGTGACAGGGTCAACCCAGTGACTTCACAGCAGTAGTAGAGGTGGGGTTTCCCAGCCCTTGGGTGGCTTCACTGACCTACTCCACTCAATCCCTGTTACTTGGATCCCACTACCAGATCAGAACTCACTAGCTTGGGCCAAACTCTCTTTAGAATCTTGGCCTGTAGGAAGATGCCACAGCTGGCAAACCACTTGCTGGCCAGTTCCCGGGGTAGGGATACCTGAGAGCAATGGCCATTGCTACCTTCATCTGCAAAGGCCAAGAAGGGTGCTCCTTCACCCCTTCCCGTAACATCCCAGGGAGTACCCAGGGGTTTCAGGGAGTCCCTAACACCCAGTGCACAATTTGACCCCTCCACACACAGTTCTCTGTACATATAGCCATGTTTCAGGGGGGCGGCCATTCCCCACTCTTAAAGGGCTACATGTCCCCCTCCCAGCCCCCAAGGCAAGGAGGGGGCTCTTCTCCCTCCTCTGGGCCGCCCTCTCCCTCTTATGCCCTCTTGCCCCACCAAATATTGGCCTCTGTGCTCATCCCTTCTCGCCAAGAGCCTGGATGGGATAGACGGTGCCAGGGTCTCCCCATCGAGGGAGGTAGGATGTTACCACCAATCCTCCTAAACTCCAGCGCCAGGTTTTCAATCTCCCGGCTAATAGACGTTCCGTGGGCTCCCCTTCCATTCTAGGGCCTCCCTTCAAGCGCGCTTAACACTCCCACGGAACATACAGCTTTCTTCAGCCCCCAGCATCGCAGGGGTGCGGGAGCTTTCAGCTTTTGTTTGCCCCCTTCTCTCAGTCTCTCCCTCCCTCCATCCTAACTTAGATTCCTTCCTGGGATCGGCCCTCCCCGTCCCCCAGCCTCTAACCCTCCGTTCACCCGCCCGACCCAGGAACTTTGACCTCTTATCTCAATAAAGCCATAGTGGGGAGAGGTCTCACCCGCCCCCCCCCCCCACTAGCACCACGATGCTTCCAGAGCTGGGACCTGGCCTTCTGAGTCTTCCCCCCTGTTCCCCAGTAAACACACAAACACACACGGACGGGGTGTGCACTGCCGTGCAGGGAAGCAGCTCCCCTTCTGGTTGGGGCTTGCAGAGGGGATGCCAGATTGAAGTGCTCCACCGGAGGACCCTCCACACCTCTGAATCCTAGCCTCACTCCCCTCTTCCCACTCTCCTTTCCAGTGCTGAACCCACCTTTGACTTCCTGGTGAGGACAGCGAGAAGAGCTGGCGCTCAGTGGGGGGTGGTTTTTGTTTTGGAATAAACAGCTGTTTTTCCTGATCTCCAGTCTCCAGGTTTTCACTGGGAAATTGGGGACCTCCTCCCCCTTTGTAGTAGATATAGGCTTGGCCAAAGTCAAAATGATATTTGTCAGGCGAGAAACTTCTAAAGGTGTTTCAGAAAGCTCAGAGATGCCCATTGCCTTGTGTTCCATGAAGCTGAGGGGTCAGAGAGGGAAGGGGAGTTATTTTTGTTTTTTCTTCTCTTCTCTTCTCTTCTTTTCTCTTCTCTTCTCTTCTCTTCTCTTCTCTTCTCTTCTCTTCTCTTCTCTTCTCT